CCTATAGATCGCTCTAGACGCACGCACATTACTCCGCGAAACTCCTATTCGGTAATGATCTTCCGCAGGCCCTCCGGCGATTTAAAAGTATAAAAACTCGTCCTGGGTCGCTGTGAATTGTTACGAGCGTAGGTTGCTTTGAAAAATGTTGTTTTAGCAGCGTTGAGATTAAGAGTTGCGAAATCCCGCTCGTTCGGAGTCACGAAGCTACGCCCACTAAGAGCCACAAAGCCACGCCTACTCAGAGATATTTATGCAGAAAGACCGGGACGAATAACACTGTCCGACAAAATCAAACTTTTTTTCTGGGTTCCTATAGCCACTATGAAATTCTTGTAGAGCTTCACTCCCTGAACAAGAATCCGAAAACCAAATTGCTCCATCACCCTCAGTTTTTTAAATAAACGAACTTTTGTAAAAACCCAAAATTTTCGACAAAAATGAGGTATTGCATGAAAAGTACAAACGTTAGAAAGTTCTAATATGTGTTAAAAGATAGAGGAAAGTTTCCCGACTATAGTGGCATGCAATTTATTAATTGTTTTTGGTCCTAAATAGCAATAAATTAATGTCGAAGTTTAAAAAAGTGTCGACGTGAGCAGTTTCTGCGCAATATTTTTGTATTTTTACGAAAAGTTTTTTGTTCAGCACGAAAACTCTACCCAGGATCGGATTCTGTAGACATTTCTGAAGAAGAAACGGCCTGATAGAAGTGTCAGAACGATGTACATTTTGAGTAGGTCGAGAAAATGTTCGTCGGCAACATGTACACGATGTTTCGCCGCCATGTGCTTCGCTGCTCGCTTCTCTCTGTCCGACAGGGCCGAGGCTATGGGTAATCAGGTCAGACGAAGATATAAATTACCTTATGGAGCCAGGATAGTTCCTGGCTGCACTGGCATGAGGAGCACTGAAGCCACACCCACTCAGAGAAACCTAAACAAAGAGAAGGTGGTAAATGATGCTCTGATCGATCCTCTGACAAGATTCAGAAGAGTGAAGCTTTTTTTCAATCATTCTAAACAAGACATACGCACGGATTGCCCCGTGGAGCACCGCCCTACTGCTCAGAACGAAGAAGCCACGCCCCCAAGGACAATGTACACGGAGAATCAGGGCAAATAACCTCGCGCCTGAATATATTAACAGATCCCACTGTCTCCAAGCATTATGAATCGCAAGCGAGTCGATCTTCGACGAAATAAAAAGCCAAGAATCACTTCTGCCATCGCAAACAGCGATCGAACGGTTAAATATGTTCGCACGGTTTCGGGAGCAAGTCGCCGACCGGCGACTATGAAAAATACAGGCGGAATCATGGCGGTAAGTAACCGAGAGATTGTGGCAAGAGATGAAGCCACGCCCCCAAGGACAATTTACACGGAGAATCAGGGCAAATAACCTTGCGCCTGAATTTATTAACAGATCCCACTGTCTCCAAGCATTATGAATCGCAAGCGAGTCGATCTTCGACGAAATAAAAAGCCAAGAATCACTTCTGCCATCGCAAACAGCGATCGAACGGTTAAATATGTTCGCACGGTTTCGGGAGCAAGTCGCCGACCGGCGACTATGAAAAATACAGGCGGAATCATGGCGGTAAGTAACCGAGAGATTGTGGCAAGAGATGAAGCCACGCCCCCAAGGACAATTTACACGGAGAATCAGGGCAAATAACCTTGCGCCTGAATTTATTAACAGATCCCACTGTCTCCAAGCATTATGAATCGCAAGCGAGTCGATCTTCGACGAAATAAAAAGCCAAGAATCACTTCTGCCATCGCAAACAGCGATCGAACGGTTAAATATGTTCGCACGGTTTCGGGAGCAAGTCGCCGACCGGCGACTATGAAAAATACAGGCGGAATCATGGCGGTAAGTAACCGAGAGATTGTGGCAAGAGATGAAGCCACGCCCCCAAGGACAATTTACACGGAGAATCAGGGCAAATAACCTTGCGCCTGAATTTATTAACAGATCCCACTGTCTCCAAGCATTATGAATCGCAAGCGAGTCGATCTTCGACGAAATAAAAAGCCAAGAATCACTTCTGCCATCGCAAACAGCGATCGAACGGTTAAATATGTTCGCACGGTTTCGGGAGCAAGTCGCCGACCGGCGACTATGAAAAATACAGGCGGAATCATGGCGGTAAGTAACCGAGAGATTGTGGCAAGAGATGAAGCCACACCCTCAAGGACAATTTACACGGAAAAATCAGGGTAAATAACCTCGCGCCTGAATTTATTAACAGATCCCACTGTCTCCAAGCATTATGAATCGCAAGCGAGTCGATTTTTGACGAAATAAAAAGCCAAGAATCACTTCTGCCATCGCAAACAGCGATCGAACGGTAAAATATGTTCGCACGGTTTCGGGAGCAAGTCGCCGACCGGCGACTATGAAAAATACAGGCGGAATCATGGCGGTAAGTAACCGTGAGATGGCGGCAAGGGATCGCGCGCGGGGATTGGAGCTCTGGCTCGTATAATCACAGGAACGTTGAGAAATGACCGAGCTACAGGAGCATCTGGTGCTCAGCACCAGGAAACGGATAAAGCTTCCGCTGGTTTTCTTGTTGATTTCCTCGTCGTGCCGCGCGAACGAGAATAATGTTCCGGGTCTGAGGACCACCGGACGGACCCCCGGCACCAGCTGCAACGGCGCAACGAGATCGATACACGCCGTTGTTATTGCGACTGGGAAACGGCGATCGTTTATCCGTGGAGGAAGACCGGCTTGGTCCGATTACAGAACCTGGTTTGCGGCATGCAAACTGTTTGGGAACAAGAACGAACGCGAAGCGGTGATATTCGATTGTTGACTCGATCCGTGGACCCAACTCTCCCGCTCGTCTTGACATCAAAATAGGAACCGAAAGCGCTTAGCTTTAACCCCTTAACTTGTACGCTCGAGTTAATTCGAGCGCGCTAAACAGGCCAAACTGTGCACACTCGAGATAATTCGAGCGGCGTTGTATTTTATGCTGCTATAATTTTTCATACTCGAATATAATCGAGAATTGAACATAACAATGTGAAAGCAAAGAACAAAAATTGATTTAATTGATATTTATCATTTACATGGAACTGTAAGCTATAACACTTATTTATTCAAGAATAAAATAGAGCCTTTTTTCCATGGAACAAAAGCGCAGTATATCAAAATTCTCCACCAAAAGAAAAGTTGAATCAGGGGCGGTAACAAATAGAAACCTTTGAGGATGTGGATTTGTTTGGATATTGCTTATCTACTTCTAATCAACGGCTATATCTTCTTCTGTTGTTCTAGCAATGTTCTAAATTGTGTCTTTTTACATTTAAAAAAATTGATATTTTTGACCGATTTTTTTCAAGAAAACTGTGCCTTATGGGGTTAAATCCCAGTTTGGTACTCTCTAAACACTTTTTTGAATTGTGTAAGTACCAAATTCAGAGAACCGCTCTTAACACGCAGAGTGATTGTTGACCCATTGCACTATTATTTCATTTACAACTGATTAGCTCTTCTTGGTCCTTAATTATTTCCCTGGCAGAACGAGACAATTTTCGTTGTACAATTGTTTTCATTTACTTTTATTCGTAGATTGCGACAAGAGAAGAACGAGATTTCGTTTTGGGTCCGGAAGAAGTGAATAACATTCGTATTTAACCGTTTGAGTCCCAAGCAGCGCGATCGCTCTTTAGTGACGCACTTACATCGCATAGCTGCCTTTTTTCATTCTTTTTCTTTTTATTTTGTTTATCAATCTTGACGAGCGCTATCGCGCCGCTTGGTTCTCTTCGCAATCGATTAAGACAAGCGCTATTCCGTTGTTCGCCACTTTTCGACCGTGTTTTCTGAATAACCCCTGAGACTCAAACGGTTAAACAGCGATGCAATAATGCAGTTCTAACTTGATAAAATTCAAGCTATATAGGGTATCCCAAAAATGTCTCGCAATCCGAAAATGGCGGGTTCCTCAGATCATTTGAAGCAGCTTCTTTCTTTACAAAAATGTTCTCCGAGGCACCGTTAACGAGTTATTAACGAAAAACAAGGACCAATGAGAGGCGAGCTCAGCTGACGCGAGCCAACGGCGCCAGCGGTCGAGGCGGTCGAATCCCAGCTCAGCTGGCGCGAGGCGACCGAGCCAATGAGCGGAACTGGGCTTCGTGCGCTGGTTGGCTGGGCCGCCTCGCGTCAGCCATACTCGATTCTTATTAATCACTGTTTTTCGTTAATAACTCGTTAACAGTGCTTCGGAGAAAATTTTTGTAAAGGAAGAAGCTGCTGCAAATGATCTGAGGAACCCGCCATTTTCGGATTGCGAGACATTATTGGGACACCCTGTAGAATTCATTTTCAATGGGAAACGACGATCGAAACAAAACAGAACTGCCTTTGCCGAAGTGTGGTACGAATATTTCCGTAGACCAAATATTACGTAACACGAAGATTAAAATGTAAATATTTTCATTATTCATGACTCTCAATTTTATTGAAATTTGGTATAAGCAAACGTTTTTACGTGTCCATTTGCAGTAAACAATTGATTATAAAATCTTAAACGCGTCAGTTGATTTAAACACGTCTTTTTATAAACAGTGAGGTCGCGAGTTATTACGAAAAACACTGACCAATGAGAGGCGAACTATATTATATGTGTAAAACCTTATCAACTGAGTTATTACGCGCATATCTATGCTTAACATGTTAAGGAACGTTTAAGAAAAAACGAGTGCATAGTTTAGCGCGAAATATATAGCCCTACTATTACAGTTGTTGATCAGTGAAACAGTTTCCACGTCATAGGCCGGTTCGCGCGAGACTCGAGTCATCCTTTTCGGAGAACTTGTTGACGAGATTAATTCCGTGTTTTTGTTATTATTTCTCGTCTTCGGTATGTAAATGCGCTGTACAGTGTGGATAGTTTTTAGATCGATCCTGCAAGAAACTTGAATAACGATCTTCGTCTCGATCGTTCTATTAAGAAATGTCGCATAACCGACTGATTGCAGCAACAAAACATCATGGAACGGTGGGCTGGCAAAAACGCGATAGTTACGGGTGCAGCATCCGGCATCGGCGAAGCGATCACCGTCGCACTTTTACAACACAAAGTGACCGTGGTGGCCGTTGACATGCAATACGACAAATTAAGACAGGCCGCCGATAACTGGAACAAAATCAGGGAAAGAGGACAGTACCATCTTCTGCAGTGCGACGTCACCAAAGAGCCGGACGTTGACAAGGTTTTCAACTTCGTCGAGACGATTGGCGGAGTGGACATCATGGTGAACAATGCCGGCATCGCGAACTTCAGGCGTATCATAGGTAGCGAACTATTTCAAAAACATGGTGCAATCTTTCCTAGCTGCTGTCGCAGTAACTGTGTCAGTTACTCGATAACGGTCACGATTTACGATCTCATTTTCATTTTGTATCCATATAGGAAAACTACATGTTTGTAATCTGAACGATTATACATGTATGCATTCACTGACTTAATGTCATACAGGGTGTCCCAAACTTATGGTACTTCCGAGAAATGAGGAGATCATTTGAAGTAACCTTTTCCTTAGCGAAAATGCAATCCGAGGCTTCGTTTGCGAGTTATTAACGAAAAACGCTGACCAATAAGAAACGAGATCAGCTGGCGCGAGGCGGCCGAGCCAATGAACGGAATTGGGCTTCGTTCGCTTGTTGGTACGGGCTGCCTAGCGCCAACAGAGCTCTCCACTCATTGGTCAACGTTTTTCGTTAATAACTCGTAAACGAAGCCGCGGATTGCATTTTCGCTAAGGAAAAGGTTACTTCAAATTACCTCAGGAATCCCTCATTTCCCGGAAATACCATAGTTTTGGGACACCCTGTATAAGTACGAGAAGGAAATAAGGCTTCCTAATGATGCGGGTTCACCGAACCTTCACGTGTGTACTGCCGAGTTATAGTGAATTTCATGCATCCAAGGATCATATAGTAATAAATTGACAGTATCAATTCAACTTTTGCGAGTCAAATAACACTGACGCGGTGGGCCTAAGTTTTTTCTTACTGGAAAAATACTGTTCGCAGACAGCGACTGGCAATCGATAGAGAAGATGGTGAACGTGTTCATGCTTGCAACTCCGGTGTTCATGTCCCGAGCAGTGCGTTCGATGCGCAAAAAGAATAACGAAGGACATATTATCAATATAAACAGGTATTGTTGCGAACCTCGTGTCGTTCGAACGTATTCGTCGTGTCGATACAATTCTATTAGATCAACGCCGTCTTTATACTTTGAGAATAATTCCACCAAAGAATTTATTTGTTCACTAGCTTCAACGTTACTGTTATAGTGTGGTAGAAATGGATAAAAGAATTTGAACCGACCGTATTTGAAACTGTCGATAGGTGGATTGGCACAGTTAGGCTAATTAAAATACGTGATACCATTACGATGATATTGAAATATTAAGAATATGTCAGGAAAATGACTCACGTTGCACAAATGATTGCACAGCGATTGTTCAGCAATTACAGCAGAAAGTATTCGTACACTCTTTTAAAACGGAATTTCTGTATATATTGCCCTGTCTTTGTAAGTGTAGCATGAACGAATAGCCGCGTTTCTCGTGATTAAAATGAGTCCAGACACGGTGTAAATCAGATTAATAGAAACGCAATCTATAATAATAAACTTATGGTTGAACGTAGTCAGATTGATATTGTGTTTGGACCCATGTTTTTGTTCCCGAATTAAAGTGTGTCTACTCGTCTGTGGCACCGCACGAACGGTAGTTTGTCGCGGTATAACACGTCCATGGCACCGCATGAACGGTATTTTGTCGCGGGATAACACGTTCATGGCACCGCACGAACGGTATTTTGTCGCGGGATAACACGTCCGTGGCACCGCACGAACAGTATTGCGTCGCGGGATAACTCGTCCGTGGCACCGCATGAACGGTAGTTTGTCGCGGTATAAGACGTCCATGGCACCGCACGAACGGTATTTTGTCGCGGGATAACACGTCCGTGGCACCGCACGAACAGTATTGCGTCGCGGGATAACTCGTCCGTGGCACCGCATGAACGGTAGTTTGTCGCGGTATAAGACGTCCATGGCACCGCACGAACGGTATTTTGTCGCGGGATAACACGTCCGTGGCACCGCACGAACGGTATCGCGTCGCGGGATAACACGTCCGTGGCACCGTACAAGCGGCAATACCTCGCGAGATATCTCGTCTGTGATCTTATACAAACAGTATCAGCGTCGCGACATAACAACTCCAATCGAATTTTCGTGTAAATTTAACCGTGCAGCAATATCGAAAAGCACTGAACTCACTGAACTTTAGTTTCGAAAATGAGGGACTCGATTGAAAATGAGGTGTTCAGTCAGATTTTTTGTTCTGCGCCACAGCATTGCCGGGCACATGTCGCACACGCCTATCTTCTCGGACGTCGAGGGCTCGAATGGCTTTCACATGTACCCGGCCTGCAAACACGGAACCGTCGCATTGACGGAGTCGGTACGACGGGAGCTCGCGTTCATCAATGCTCAGATTCGTGTCACCGTAAGTTGCGTAACTTTTCATAAGCTTGATCGTAGTGTTTCGCGGTGCTTCGACAACCTCGCCGATCTTTCAGAGCGTCAGTCCCGGCACCGTTAACACAACCCTCACGGAACACAACAAGGTCATATATAGCCAGCTGAGACAAGTGATAGAACCCGAGGATGTCTCGGACGCAGTCATCTACGCGCTTTCCAGACGTCCTGATGTCGAGGTAAGATGACAGAAAGGAAATCAATTTTATGGAACAAGAAACAATTCAATTCGTAAACCTGGTCGTTGCAAGTGAAAATACCGTGGTAGCGCGAGGCGAAACTACGGTGACTCATACAACAGGTAGACTTTTAACAATTTAAATTAATATAAAATAATATAAAAATATAAAAATCATCTTGGAACATGGTGTAACAATATTAAAATTTAAAATATTGTAGTAGGACTCTCTCGATACTCAAGGTTATCGTATATTTTTTATACTTTTATATTTTATTGAGATTTTTATTATAAAAACGGAAATGTGCGTAGTCATATTACAAAATAGTATTTATGGAACCTCGTTTATGTGAACAGTTGGGGACGAGGCAGCTCAAATAGGCGAACGGTATAGATAATAGAGGACCGTTTTCATTCCCGCCGCATTTTACTTTTAGTCCAGATAATAAAGGTTCCTATGCTTAGTTAATCGAAGTCCATTGCTATTCTCACGATTTCTCGCATCGTTCGAGTAATTGGAATGTTTGTAGATGGACACGCATAAGTTGCTCGTCGAAAGAAATCAGTTTATTTTGCATATCGGTAACATGTCGCGTGACAAAACTTGAGACAGAAAAAGGTTAGTTTTAAGCCTACAAGATGAACGTAAAAATACGATAGGAAGTAAGTTTTTATATAATTCTACTATGATAGAGAATAAAATCTTCATCATAATGTTTATTATTCTGTTTTACGATGCAGAATAAATATTTCGCTTTATGGATCTGAGTAAACATTTACATATTTTCATCGTTTACATATACATAAGAGCAAAATATTACGGTGGCCTGCATAAAATACGTGTCAGATCGTTTGTATAATCGCGGTTCAGATAAACGAGAGGTTCTAATGTACTAATATTGTTATGTAAGAAATGTAAAGAAAATTGTCGGCTATGTTTCTAATTAGCGTCTGCTAGATAAAATGTTAAAGTCGTATTAGAAGCATCGTAGAACTAAGTTTGAATCGTGAAACCTTAAAGATTTGAGGCACGAAAAATTCGATCGTTTCGTTTGTCATATTAAACCGTTCGTTCCGTTTCCCGAAATTCCAGATCAAAGAGATCATAGTCCAGCAACGAGGCATTCTTTATTAAGGGATCGACTAAGACCAATATACGGTAAGTGTCACAGATCGTTGTCTTGATTTTCATCCGAATTTTCCGCATTTAATTATCGAGTTTAAAGTCAGACGAATTCTTTCGAACGCGACGCGAAATTGGCGTTTTAATGTAACGCGGCCGATCGTCGAATTAATCAACGTGAAATTTAGCGGAGCGTGAGCGGTTGTCCGCGATCGTGCTGCTTTTTTCATAAATATAAATCGGGGTCGAACGCGATCCGATTTGCATGCAGCGCACCGGTCCGTTCCGCTAGTTACGCGCTATTGATTACAAACTGTAAATTGGCTGCGCATAACCGGACCATAATTACAAGGGCGGTGCTCCTTAGAATTGAATGATTGATGCCATTATTGGGCTGCGTGACTAAACTCGGTATTAATTCTAACCACAGCAGCAACAGTTACTAACTACGCGACTCTTCCCCTCCCGCTCGATACTGTCTCTAATTAACCGTAATCGATGACAGACACCGTAACCAGCCCGCCATTAAATCCGCCGCGCCGAGCACCGCGGCTAGTACTTAGTTTTTGCACTAATTATTCCACACCGGGCGATATAATTTTATCCGATGCTCGGCGCTCTCGATTTCGTTAAACACACCGTAACCAGATCGCGAATCACGGCGACGCCGAGGTAACCGTGTCAAATGTTAATTGAGTGCCGCGCGGTGCTGCGGCGAAATTATGCTAATATTTATTTACTTAATCTGTTCCCAGAATTGCGCTGCTACCATTTTCAGGAGGCGGGGACCGGCCGACTGAATTTGCTTTCACTGTTCGAGGCACCAGAGAGAAAACCTTTTTCCCTCGAATGCTTGCCAAGGAAAAGTACGCTTTTGTACAATCGATATCAATGGGAAAGAACTTCTTGATCTGTATATAAATGAATAATAAATATGACGATATGGAATGAAGACAGGAAAGATGGAAAATTCTTACGGGGATTCTGTCTAAGATCAAGCATCTAAATATTTTCCTTATGATACGAAAAATGTGTCAAAACTGTCTTGAATGATTGTTATCGTTTCCTTCAAATTTTTCTAAATGTACATACATTTTATGGTGATTAGTCCTCCGTTGTTTCTGTATTTATGGTATATGCAAGTTCGTGTAATGCAAATAAACGTCCATATTAATGAAAGTTAATTGTATTATTATACAATTGTATATTATATGCTTACTGCAAAGACTTTCGCGTTACTTCGCATTTAAAATAATCCATGAAACGAGAATTTGCGTAAAGATCGATGTTAATGATTAGTGTTTGGAATTATGAATATTTAAATGCATCTTTGACACGTGCTATACATGATACAATAGAGAAAGTCGATCCATCTTTGACGAAGTAGTAGGTACTGAATGCGAATAGTCGTGAAAAGAAAATTTTCTTGCGAATCTTTCCGCAAATTCATTTCTCCACATCTCATTTTATAAAAATTGAAATGAGGAAAATAGAAGTAAAAATAGAAGTAAAAATAGAAGTAAAAAAATGGAGAATTTGGGAAGCGGAGATACGATTATTTGAGCCTTGCGACTCGTTTTTATAGTTGTTGACAATCGGTAACTATAAAAACGAGCCACGAGGCTCGACTAATCGTATCTCCACTTCCCAAATTGTTTACTTTCGTGCGCAACCTGAGCGCGAATTAGTGAGAAATTACTGTGTACAGTTTCTGCAACTATTTTCACCGTGCTTGCAACAGAAAATCTGACGTTGGAAAGTTTCCATGTTATCCCACAGAATGTCTTTGATGCCTAAAACACACGTTCCACATTTGTTGAATGATTAATGAATTTCCGTGAGCGTGTTAACCGTTTGACTGCTGGTGGCGCCTAAAGGCGCTTAGAAAACTTGAGTTTATGATACTGTAGGCGCCCATAGAGGCGCTTAACCTATTTCGGTCTACTGACACAAGAGGCGTCTATAGGTGCCCGGAAAATTTTATCGATCAAAAAGCTCGATGTTAATGCTAAATTTGTAATATGTACACCAACAAGTCAATGCGAAATACAAAAATATAAATAATACTGTTTTAATGTAAGGGAATTCAATGCTTTGATTCTTTTAATATATTCTCTCAGAAATGCGCGTCTAACGAAAAGTTTATCGTTCTCGGTGTACGTCCTGAATTAGTATTAGTATAGTAGTATTAACCCTTTGCACTCGAAACCATTTTTAACTGTAAATGTAAAATAATTTTTCTGACCTGCAGTATTCCCATTTTCTAGGACAAAGTGCATTTTATGCGTATGAAATTGCATCTTACGGTGACTCGTACAACAGTTGCACTTTTAACAATTTTTTCGAATCTAAACTTTGATAATATAAAAATTATCTTGGATCGTGATACGACAATTTTTTAGTGATGCCTCCGAGTCACCACTCGAGCACAAAGGGTTAACAGTGAATTAGAATTAATTGTGACTGCCCCGTAGTCAAAGGGTTATGATTTTCTGGATACCCTGTAGACAAGTTTGTAGCCGTTTGATCGAAGAACGGAAGCGTGTCGAACGAAAGTGAAATCTTCAGTGGCGAAAGTCATTATGGCCGACGAGGCGGATGCGTTCAGCGTGTGTACACTCGAGAAGCCGGTCTGCACGCAAACTTCCGNAAACGAGCCACGAGGCTCGACTAATCGTATCTCCACTTCCCAAATTGTTTACTTTCGTGCGCAACCTGAGCGCGAATTAGTGAGAAATTACTGTGTACAGTTTCTGCAACTATTTTCACCGTGCTTGCAACAGAAAATCTGACGTTGGAAAGTTTCCATGTTATCCCACAGAATGTCTTTGATGCCTAAAACACACGTTCCACATTTGTTGAATGATTAATGAATTTCCGTGAGCGTGTTAACCGTTTGACTGCTGGTGGCGCCTAAAGGCGCTTAGAAAACTTGAGTTTATGATACTGTAGGCGCCCATAGAGGCGCTTAACCTATTTCGGTCTACTGACACAAGAGGCGTCTATAGGTGCCCGGAAAATTTTATCGATCAAAAAGCTCGATGTTAATGCTAAATTTGTAATATGTACACCAACAAGTCAATGCGAAATACAAAAATATAAATAATACTGTTTTAATGTAAGGGAATTCAATGCTTTGATTCTTTTAATATATTCTCTCAGAAATGCGCGTCTAACGAAAAGTTTATCGTTCTCGGTGTACGTCCTGAATTAGTATTAGTATAGTAGTATTAACCCTTTGCACTCGAAACCATTTTTAACTGTAAATGTAAAATAATTTTTCTGACCTGCAGTATTCCCATTTTCTAGGACAAAGTGCATTTTATGCGTATGAAATTGCATCTTACGGTGACTCGTACAACAGTTGCACTTTTAACAATTTTTTCGAATCTAAACTTTGATAATATAAAAATTATCTTGGATCGTGATACGACAATTTTTTAGTGATGCCTCCGAGTCACCACTCGAGCACAAAGGGTTAACAGTGAATTAGAATTAATTGTGACTGCCCCGTAGTCAAAGGGTTATGATTTTCTGGATACCCTGTAGACAAGTTTGTAGCCGTTTGATCGAAGAACGGAAGCGTGTCGAACGAAAGTGAAATCTTCAGTGGCGAAAGTCATTATGGCCGACGAGGCGGATGCGTTCAGCGTGTGTACACTCGAGAAGCCGGTCTGCACGCAAACTTCCGACAGCGAGTTCAAAAGCTCGCGCATTGTGCGGAGCTTTACTGTCACCCGAGGCATCTCTTGGTGCGCGGAACAGTTAAGGTGTCAAACAAATTCTAGCTTGCTTCTAGCAGTTTCGGACGCGCGTGTACAAGGTATTCCCGAATTACACAACTATCTACTCGAAATCGTTTCCTTGAACCCTGTATCTTGTTTGTACTTTGAGATGCTACTCTCACCAAAGTCTTGCAAACACCTGATTTTGTTCTTAACTGTTTGAGTCCCAAGCAGCGCGATCGCGCTGTTCAGATCTCGTGTCGCGATCAAACTTTATTGACGCACGTACATCGCATAGCTGCTTTTTTTCTTTTCCTTACTTTTCGTTTTGTTTGTCAAGTTCGTCTTGACAGCAAAATAGGAACCGAAAGCGCTTAGCTTTAAATCCCAGTTTGGTATTCTCTAAACACTTTTTTGAATTGTATAAGCACCAATCGAATTCAAAGATCCGCTCTTAACACGCAATGTGATTGTTGACCCATTGCACTATTATTTCGTTTACAACTGATTAGCTGTTCTTGGTCCTTAATTATTTCCCTGACAGAACGAGACAATTTTCGTTGTACAATTGTTTTCATTTACTTCCATTCATAGACTGCGATAAGAGAAGAACGAGATGTCGTTTTGGATCAGAAGAAGTGAATAACATTCATATTTAAACAGGTAGCTATCGCGATCTCTTTGAAAAGTGTGTAAATTAGTGTAATTATACCGAATATGTTTGATTTTCTTCATATTTTGTTGAAATTCAACACTTTTACAAAATATGAGATTTGTTAAAGAATATCACAGTATACATATATCCCTCTTGTCAAGTTGGATATTTTTGTGTTATGACGACTATACTCGTCAAAAACAGCTAACTGGAGGATCATTTAATTCTTAGGACTATGAACATTTCTTTGGGCTATTAGTAACATCGATTTTCTTAGCAGAGCTTTCGTAGCGACAAAATTGTAGAACGTCTGATAGAGCTAAGCTAGATCAATGCGATTTTTTGCAAATTAAAGCTAAAACAATGAACTTGAATTGACTTAAAGTTGATCTTGGTCAAAAACGTCAATCTCGATAAGTATTTTCAAGGTTAATATTTACATATCATTGTTCCTCCTTATTTTGCCATTGTTCTGCAAGATCTCAGTTACCATTTAAAAATGGTTTCACCTCTCTGGCTTAATTCTGAAATCCACGACATTGTCGCAAAGATGATCAAACGTTTCCACTGTATGAAAACCATTACACGGTTTCAATTCGAGCACATAGTACGAAACTGCACGAAGTCGTAATAAATTCAATCCCGTCATTTCAACATCCTTGGCATTAATACTCGAATCTTCTTTTACCTCGATGCGAGAACTTCCCGCTTCATCGTGTATTTGTAATATTGAAATTGACTCGGATTCGCGAGCGCGCATCGCCGGAACCATCGCAGTCGGAAACTTTGAAACATTCACCAGGGACACTGCTGAAAAACCATCGAGCTACATACCATTCGCAGCAGCGGGAGCACATCGCCCGGGTAAATAAGGAGCGCCAGCCGGGGCTTAAAAGCTTTTAATATTTATAAAAAATGTAAGTACGCGCGCGCGGGCGCGCGAGCGTGAGCGGCCGCCATGAAAAATTCGTGGGCCGTCTCCGTAAATCGGATGATACTAGTATTCCGCGAGCATCAGAGAGAAGTTAGGCGGCGCGATGTCCCGTTTATCCGACGTCCGAGAGCTAAACGGTTCCGCGGACTTTCGTTTTGTTTCATGAAAAGCAACTCCACCTCCGTAACGCGATCAGAGCTTTTTCTTCGTTGCTCGTTAACGAGCCAACGCGACGACTGCCTTCCAACAACAGCCTGGTTTTGACCACGCAAAGATAAATACGTTGAATTTACATGAATGAGCATAATTGAGAGTCAAGTAGAGGTGGATAAACGTATTAGTACATGCAGCTATGGTGTGATACAAGGATTTTTATGCTAACTTTCATTTTTCGCAACTGTTTCTTTAACTGTGTGAAGAAATACGTTCCTCCAAAGCCAAACAATCATCAAATTATTATCTGTTTTAAGAGGTTCAGAATAAGAGGAAAATTTCATTTTGGCGAATGAGTCTGTCAATACAAATGCTTAGAATGGCTACATTGCCTTACGAATAAAAACATCGTGTTCAGAAGATAAAATGCAAATTCAAAGCTGTCTTTGCTGAGACAACGACATAAACTCGCTCCGAATACATCGTATTCTTTTAACCAGTTAGCTGTGGCGCCTCCATTTCAGAGCGCGCACCTATATGTGTCGCGGGAATCAAGCGACGACGAGTATACTCGTCGAACACAATGTAAGTGTCGCTGTTAAAATATTGGATCAAAAAGACGGTTTTATTTGATAAAATTAACAATTTTATTACTAATATTTACTTGTTCACTTGACGTTAACGTATACCATATACATAATAAACGAAAAAC